TGATACACCAATTGATCTGTCATTTCAACAACTTTAGATTTCAGTGGCTATATGAGTCAGAGTATATTTGTCATCGTGAGATTGTTATTTTACATCTATTAGTACGAGTGTGTAAAGTATGAAAAAAGGCACGTGTTACAAGTTCGTTCTGTTTTTTTTTAGTTGAGGGATGAAAGTTATGATTACATATTTGTAAATTGTATAGTTGATTTAGTCGAATAATTTCATTTCTGTTATGCATTATTTACATAAATGAATGGGCCGTAAGCTGCCCAGTGGATTAGCGTACCGAATACGAAACCCAGGATCCGTGGTTTGCGAGAAAAAAAAATCGCTCTCTTTTATTTGAGGCTAAGTTTGTTTGTTTGTTTTGAATTTCGCGCAAAGCTAAACGAGGGCTATCTGCGCTAGCCGTCCCTAATTTAGCAGTGAAAGATTAGAGGGAAGGCAGCTAGTCATCACCACCCACCGCCAACTCTTGGGCTACTCTTTTACCAACGAATAATGGGATTGACCGTCACATTATAACGCCCCCACGGCTGAAAGGGCGAGCATGTTTGGTGTGACGGGGATTCGAACTGCGACCCTCAGATTGCGAGTCGAGCGCCTTATCCACCTGGCCATGCCGGCCCTTGAGGCTAAGAAAAAAGCATTCAAGTCCTACTATTTGATTAGAGCAGCTCAAGAGTTGACAGTGAAAAGGTGTAGGAGGCAAATTAAAAGTGGGAGACCCAAGGTTTATTTGACGGAACGAAGCGACAGAATGTGCACCACAGGTGCATCGATTACGGCCCGGATCCAGGGCTCGCCCTAAGGCTCTGGGAATTATTGGGTTCTGAATCAAATTGTATGCATTATCCTGCTTTTACTGAGAGTAATTTTCCTAATTTTGATGCATATTTACTGAGACATATTGAAATCCTGGGGTCCGGGCCCCACACTTCCTACGCCATTGTGGTAGGTGGGCTTGACTAGGTGCTTCCCTCTGTAGTCTATCACTTCAAGTTTAGGGACGGCTAGCGCAGATAGCCCTCGAGTAGTTTTGCAAGAAATTCAACAAACAAACAAACATGAATAAATTGACATAAAATCTGAAAACATAAATTTACTAAACAGTTATTTATACTTACGTTGGCCCATTCAAGTTATTGAAAATGCGGGTTTCTTTTTTACATCTGGTTTAGGAATCCAAAACAAAAAACACTACTGTTTTCTGCAATTCTGTATTACTTTGTTAAAATTCCTTGTAGTATATTCTTGTTTTATT